AAACCGAAAGAACCAATGACACGGCAAGAAACTAGTGGAGTCGTCTATAGGATCTGGAGGAGTTGCAGACAAAGCAACAACGTCGGAGAAACTGAAAGACAATCAGTGACACAAGGGAAGCCAGCGTACGCAAAGGATGGAGGAAACGGATAAGCGGTAGCTGACGCGGGAGCGAATGCGCGGTCGGTGCCCAGGCGAGTTTCAACGCCGGGTCGGGTACTATGGGACCCGCGCGTCACTAAATCTTTGGGTGCAGCTGAACACCCCTTGTTGGTAAACCGGGAAGGCGAAGGCGATTCTACCTCCGGATTCGCCAATGTAGGAAAGGCTCCGCGGAGCAGAGAGCAGTGGCAGGTTCACATGCAACGGTCGATTGTAATGCAATGTATACTTTAAATTATTGAGTAAGCTCGCTTTAATGATAAAAAACACCTTATGGGCGCCCAAAAATCGGGAAATGAAAAGTTTGAAAAAATGGTGGCAAATCGGGCTACTGGGCAGTTTTAAGGTTTTGATTATTTAAGTCCCCTTATAGGCGGCCACACAGGTAATCCCTTCCGTATAATTAGTCTGAGAGATAAGGGTAAAATAGTAAGTCGGCCCGGAACCCAATTGGTGGACAAGAGGCATTCCAGAAACACAAGTAGCATTCGCGTCATGAGGCTTCGGCAACTTTTCGAACAAATATTTGTGGCAAAACACCATGTTGACATTTCTTAAAATGAGCATACTGCAGGCTTATTTCTTCTAAGATGTCAGCGAGTCACGAAAGCTGGAGATATACAATGCGACTTGGGCGCATCGCTGCGTCCAAAAAAAGATAATACAGTGTATAGTGTTCCTAGTGCAAATAATTATGAACGAAACCACTTCCACTTACCACCCTTTTGCAAATAGCGCATGTGATCAGCCAACAGGCTTGTTATCTGGCCGGGAGATAGAGAGTCCAAACGATCTGTCAAAAATGGATTGAGGAAAAAGGGTGAGAAGGAGGCAGACAAAAAAGAGGATAAAAGTAAAATATAAGGCTCTAGAAAGGCGGTACCTTATGAACTTATATCTGTCATCGGTACGCATGAACCAGTTGGTGCCCACATTAGAAATGGGTTTGAACGAAAAAAGTATCCAAGTGAAGGAGGTTGGGCCAAACAGTATATATTATCATTAGTAGCCCCAGTAAATATGCAAGCTCATTCAATATAAACAAAAATTCTAAAATATGTTTTCGATTGGAAACTAGTGAGGTTGTAATACTGATAATCCTGCAGCATAATCCGCAGATACTTCACTTGCTTCAGGATCTCGGCGGTTGGAAAACATTTTCTCCACTGTCTACAACAGTTCCATGAGCTTTTTTTCCATTAACTTTTGACACCCTTATAAATTTAAATGTAGTTTGCAGTGAACGTGCAAAAAATTTCGTTGGCTCTTATTTAGCAGTGAAATATGTCTTCTTCAAAATTTATACTTGGGGAAAGGGTGGCTGTCGGTTTTTAAATGGTTGCTAATGATGATACCTTTAAGGCCACAAAATCTTCACTCATATATTATCGCAGCTGTTCATTTACTAATGTTGTTAGTAAAGTATACAACATGATCCACGCCTACGCCTACATTTTATGAGCCCTATATGAAGTCTTTTTAAAAGTGCATATAAATGGATCATTGGCTTTACGCGCAAGATGCACGGCTGTAATTTAGAAACATGGGACGCAAAGGAAACAGCGAAAATATCCGGGAACTGAAGGTTTCTTTAAAACCGAAATATGCTCCTTCTTCCAGTATAAAAATGAAAGAGATTTAAATTAATATCAAAGTACAGAAAATAATATTTAAGCCATATTTTTTATAAAATATATTTGAATTTATAAGAGAATTTAAAATTAATTCACGAAACCATACTATTTAATCAGTCACTTTTTACAAAGATAAATTTTTGTGAGCAGCCGGGAAACCGAAACTTCCTATATAATACAGGTGGCTTTGCATTGAATCCCTAGGAAATTATGGTTAGGGTTGGAGTCGAGGTTTGGTTTAGTGTTAAGGATGGGAGTATGTATCCTTCCTGAAATTTGGCGTAAGGCCATCCGTACCATGGGCATTGTCAGGTGCCTATTCCCATGTCTTACCGAGAGAAGTAATAAGTGAGTGGAATCTCTATTTTCACAGTATATGGATATGATTCCGCCGGACCACACCGAAATAAAGGGTTCGGCTTCTTGTGCGCTTAAAATACTTCATAAGTTGATCGAGCTGCCACCCCCTACAGTTACCTGGGGTGTGGCTAGAGTGAAAATCGGACTTCGAAAGTACGTTGTACACAGACCCGCAACAAGGACTGCGAATCTAACTAATTGGCTGATCTCATGCACTGTAAGCCCGAAAATGTTACATATAAACCGTAGGTTTCGTTAAAATTTCGGTTAGACGAGTATAATGACAAAAGTTGCTTTTACTAGATGCAATGCTGAACACCGAAGGCGTCAACATGTCAGATAATGCTAATTTGTCCGCCAACCGTGCAAACTGTACCAGAAGCTTTCTCATTAAAATGCACTTGTTGTTTGGCCTACAAATTAGCGGGTTTAGTCAAAAATCACAGGATAACTACCAGGGTATTGTAGCTTTGTATTGGGCTGAAATCATAAAATTGTACGTAGGTTTCGTACCCTATACTCTGATACTAGGAGGGAAGTGAAGCGCAATAAGCAGAGACACCTTAAAGGTAATGAGGAAAAACCATTAACGGCAGTTAGTCGATAAATGAAAGTAGAAGACATAGGCAAGAACATCCTAAGAACTGTGAGACGATCCAATTGGCCATTCCTGCAACTTTATTCCAGGTGAAATACAGGCGAGGCATGCAATGAGAAGGACTACTGTTGTTAGACCACGGTTAAAATCTGTTTACCCTTCTTCAATGTGTCCCTTAAACTGCCAAAGGGCAGAAAGGCCGGAACGTCGGTGTCGAAGGTGGAATCACCAACAGAGAACTTGTTCACAGAAGGTGGAGCCGCAGTGAGAAGACGGCGGTTGCATCGCGTGGTCAGCAAGCCATCTTTGGCGAATAAATCGGCCGAACTGTCAGGATCAGCGAAACGACCTCCTAGCATCGCGTGTTGGAAGTACACGGTCTGTTCCATGGCTGCGGTCACTACCGCATCCTCGAAGCCACCCAGTTTGGCAATCCCCTCAGCATCCAACAACATCCCATTCATGAGTAGAGCAGGAGGCGCGCCAATTGAAGAAAGTATACCACTACTTTGTAGGAAAAGCCTATGAGTCTACAAATGAGTTTAAAGCATGCCGGATAAGTACATCTGCATATTTTGGTAAGAATGTCAGGTGTATGCGCTTATCAATGGGTCATTAACAAACAATATACCAGAGGGAGAGTAAATGACGCACCTTAATTATCTCATCGTTGGCAGTTGGAGTGCCGGGGCTCCCGAAGACATCCTCAGAGTAGAAGTCCGGAAAGCTGTGCTCAAACTCTTCGCGAACAAGCTTTTGGCTCAGAACAGTAGAGCTCTCCATGTTCTTGACTTTGGCGTAAACGTCCGTGAGAAAATTAAGGCCGGTCATTGCGCCGGGATTACCCATTTGGGAGGAGGACCTGCTATTCCTCGGGTACTCCTCAACCGTCTTCTCCAGGTAAGTAAAAGCGCGGGCAAGATCCAGTCCTACAGATTCGACTTTTGGATCCACAGCCCACAAAATGCCGATGCTAGAAGTGGGAGTGCAAAAGTGATTAGAATTCGTCCCCGCGTATACGAAATTGCGCCTTTAAGACAAAAAGCATAATTCAGTTACTAAAACCGAGTCTACACACTAACCGAAGGAAAGCAACTCTTTAAATCGACTCTTCTTTTAACGTTTGCAATTTTAGAGTTCCTAATTTCTGAACTACTAATATGCCGTTCAATGTGCCAGACGTTGGGTTAAGGTGTTCAAATAAAGTTCAGACAAACTTGTGGTGCAATAAACTTCTAGAACGGATTCCGGTGTTATAATTCTTTGTAAGTTAGGGACAGCTAACACAAACGCAAACGTGGTTCAATTCGCACAAACCTAGCAGGCATCGTAACTGCTCGAGACGTGTCCGTTTAGGTGCCCCCTTTTCTCCAAATATAAGTGCCATATGGTAAATATTCAGGACATTTACCATGCTTTCTACTTTAACAGAGCCATTTCGTTAAAAGAAATTTTCCTACTCCCGTTAGGAAAACCATACTAGACTCGTGAGAGGAACTTTTGTCAACTATGGAATATGGCGAGCAACCTCATTAGTAGAGTACCTTAGATTGAGATCTGACGCTGCAATTTTGCAGTTTGTTAGTAATCAACGTTCCGCGAAAACGCCGGACGCAAACTTCGTCAAGAATAAAAACCCTGTCACACAAGTGAACAGTGTCGATAATGTTTTGAGCCAAAGGGGCTGCCCGGAAGAAAATGCGTATGCAATCCCGATCGTCATATCCACATCGTGGTTCGGATACCCCGGCCTGTACTAGGTCAACCTAATCAACATGTAAGGGGGTATCGCTTACAATTCCTCGAGGGGGATGGAAGATGCCGGGTGGAGACTCAAAGAACGGGTGATGCAGACGACCTGCAGGAGCGGATGACTGTAAAGACACCAGCTATCAATACCATCGAACGCTAAACAGGCGCTACATGAAGCGCTTCAGCTGACGTACCCACTTCCTCACTCATAAATCGTGTTCACGTAGAAGTTAACGTCTTCTATTCTTCATAACATACATTATTCCAAGGTGGACTGAGCCGAATCACATTTAAGTAGCTCGTTTTTATGGGAGGGCGGTCACAAGGGGAGAATGCAAGGAAATAGTTCCAAAATGCTGAAATTTAGAGGGCGGAGATAACCAATGTCAACGTCACAAAATGCACTCTTGTAATGGCAAGTGCGATATAAAATCGAAAGGCAGCGTAGGCCAAAACCAGCTGCTGGAAACAGATTTAAAAAACTCCGTTAAAAGGCTTTCGCGCACCGAATAGCGACTCCCTGGAGGACGAAGGCCTCTGTCAGTCTTAGAATTTCCATGCAGCGCGGTTCGGCTGGATCAAGGACGAGAACAAGATTTAGCACATTTTTTCCCACCTGACGAATCGCCCCCATGTAAGAGGGCATAAAGAGCGCACGCAAGGTGCGTGGCCATCTGTTGTAGCCAGGATTTGTCTCAAGATCATTCAGGTAGATGACTGGGGCAGAAGCGAGATTCAGCAAGTATTGGCCAGTCAGGCTGTGCTTGAAACTCTCTCCAAAGGCGGCTAGCGAGGGGCTATCTGCCCTGGCAGTTGAATGAAGCAGATTTGTGGCTTCGTGGGTCTGTGGAGGAGAAAGAAACCTGTCTTACGATACAACCAGCGCAAGGGACACCATGGGAAACAATCTGAGGCATTTCAAAGCAGCGTGAAATCCCGTACGTTTGAAGTAAGTGACGACCTTAGACGAAAGAGATCATCAAATATTATCAGATAAGTGTGACTACCGTCTGTTCTAACCGTAATTTAAAGCCGGGGCATACAAATTGTGTTTGCACGCAATCATGGCTACTGACAGGATTTCAAAGCTATTAAGAGAGTAATAGTGACCCAAACACAAATGTTCTTTAAAAAAGTCACAATATGCGTCTTTATCAAGTAGCGCTTGAATGGCAGCCTCGTGTTGTGGTAGTTGCTGGGTAGAATCACGCAAAGCAACGAATTGTACTAAGACCAAAGCGGTTACTAACCAATAAGGCAATATTGAAAAGATTAGCGAAAAAGAGATTATAGACAGCAATGAAGAAGGAATGAGAGCTTTGGCAGGCAACCAAGCGCTCAGATGGGATACCAATTCAGCTCCAATGGATCGGCATACAAGCGAACAGAACTAACATATTTTAGGGCAATTTGATTAACCGTAGCAACTGATAGGATGCTTTAAACATGGCTTGGGATTAATCTTTAAAAAGATGCCTGCATGTGGTAGAATCTAGGTGATATTTATTCGAGACGGATTTAGTAACATCAAATCGTCGTCTGTGCGTATAGTGTATGAGATGTCGTTTACGGGGAGTCGTGGAGGGGGAATACGTGTATTTGAGGCGGTTTATCGGCCTTTCCATAACAATGCGCTGAACACTCTTACTAGACGTACTGACGGGCTTGGCGAAGGATAATGCATCGACCCTCTTTCGAACACAACAATCATCTGTAGTTCCGCGATACCGAGTTCTGCATGAAAGCCACAACTTGGTGAAGGTCCTTAACCGGTGAGTTAAATCCAATGATGGCAGACAGTGCGTCGACATCTTTCGAACTGATAGTCCCTTCATTAATAGCCATCCAAAATTCAACCCAAGAAATCCACAAAGTTCTGAAGAGAGAGTCACATGCAAGTAGTCCTGGCTAATTCGGATCGTTTCCCCACTAAATCAAAGTCACGACCCATCGCCAAATGCATCAAGTAAACAATGCTGGTCTCATGACAGGCGAAGAAGATAAAAAAGGATATCAAAATGTAGCTTCATACGCCCTCTAAAAGATGTCCGTGCCTCGAAACCCAGAAGATTAAGTCTGTAAGCTTACTCACAATGGTGGACAAAAGATGTTGGAAGAACATATTAAGAATCAAACGCCTTCAAAATAATCAATTTGAAAACGAAGCAAACTGAACCGAAGCGAAACGAGAAGCGTGAAAAATTGGAAAGCAGCGGACCGACGTTGTTGATACCAGAATTCAATCATTTTTTGTGTTTAAGCGTACAAGTTAATCCCGGTTATGCGAGGTGGTAGGCAGGCGTGTTAAATGATTCGAAGTCAAGGAATCTAGTTGACACTGCATATTTTCAGTTAGTCTAGATATTTCGGGAACTTAATAACCCTAAGGGCGAAAATGTCTAGAAGGCCAGTTCACATTCCCATTTAAAAAAAACACACACACACAAACAAAGACGAACGTTTCTGTGTGAGGGTTGAAAACTGAACAGTAATCACCTACTTGACAGACTTATAGTATAGCAGGGTTCTTACTACATTGATTGTCTTAAAAAGTGCAACTCACCGGCAGATCGAGACCCCACAAATGGCTCAGCAGGTAGCTCTCCGAGCGCAGAATATCCAGCAGAGCAAAAATATCGATAGAGGGCGAAAGGGCCAAACCGTTCAACAGGAACAGACTGCTGCCCGGCGTGACTTCATACCTTTCGGTAAGAATCTCTTGATTATACTTCACTTCAGACCGGAGTTCAGGAGTAACTACGAGTTGAGACAGTTCGCTAGAATGAATAAAAAGTGTACCCTTTACAGTTACCTCAAGAAAACAGTCATAACGTACTCGAAAGAATCATCTGTATTTTTAATCCTTATGCATAATACACAGGAACGGATATAAGTCTTTACTGAGCAGAGCTGGCAATTGAGGATTGAACGTCGAAAGAAAGGCTTGAATCTGCAAAGGAACATAAAAACTCAATCTTTTTGTTTTCACTGTTAGTGATCCTGTCGTAATGTGTCCTCGAAACAGCTAAATATAAGTTATTCCGCGACGGTTGATCACCAAAGTGTTGGAAGAAAAACTAGTTCGTTTAAGGAAGGTTGTTTTCCGCTGGCTTAATCAACCAGAAAGAACAGATTCGAGAAGGATGACAGAGGGTGCAGCTGTTCTTACCTTTTTTTCTTTAGAGTGGATCTACTTTTTAGGATGGATAACATTTTTAGGCAAAAGCAAAGATAGAGGAATGTCGAGTGATTTACTTACTAGGCTCGTGACGGAAAATTGCGGCTGATATCTCTCAGAGCCAGGAGGCCGGCCCGACCAGTAGTGGAACCATCCGACTGCGAAACGGCGTTAGCGATGGACTGTATCGCTTGTAATCCGAGGTCTCGCATCTGCCAAGCCTTTAATGGGCGAATTTCAGGAGAGGTCGAAGGAAAATCGGGATTTTGAGAGTGTTGTCGGGTGGAGTTGGAATCCGCCGCTGGCGAATCCGAGGCAGTAGGGATATCAGCACCCGTAGCATTGTCGGAAGTAGAATCCTTAACTTCTGAAGCTTTAGAAATCGAAGCAACCTGATCAGCATGACTAGCAGAATGATATGTACGTTATGAGTAAACCATAAAGACGTTGATACTACTTCCGGGAATGCAGAAACAGTGATCTTCGGTAGCAAGAAAAATATATGATACATTCTGTAGGTTCCTTTCCAAATGATAATTACTAACTTAACATAAGAACAGGACTAACTCAGCTG